TTGTTGTTGTTGTTGTTGTTACAAATACAAGACAGAATCTTTGACTGGTATTATATAACAGGTAAAAAATGTAAACAAAAACCTAAGTATCGGTTAAATATGAGTGTAGCATATATGCTGTTCCTAATTTTGCTGTTTTTTGCAGCTCTGATAATGTTATTTCAGAGATCTGCAGCTGATTATAGCATTTTATAAAATTCCATGACATTGTTCCCAATTCCCCAGTGGTATGGAACTATTGAAATGTGTTTCATCCACAAGCAAATTATTTCTATAGCCAGGTCATTTATGAACAGGATGAAAAGCACTGGTCCCATGACAGATCCCTGGGGCACAGCGCTCTTCACCTCTCTCCATTGCGAAAATTGTTTCTCAGCAGCCTTTGGTGAGGGATCATGTCAAATGTCTTCTGAAAATCCAGATAGACAATATCCACTGGTTAGCCCACATCCACATGTCTGCTGACCTTTTCAAAGAATTCTAAACGGTTTGTGAGGCAAGACTTACAGAAGCCATGCTGATTTTCCCTCAACAAGGCTTGTTCTTCTATTATCTTGGATGAGGCTTTGCACCATCTTCTCTGGAACAGACGTTAGGCTAACCAGCCTGTAGTTTCCCCGTGTCCCCCTCCTCCCCTTTTAAAAGACTGTTGTGACATGTGCTATCCTCCAGTCCTCTGGCACTGTGGCCATTTTAACGGACAAGTTGTATATTTAATTAAGAGATCAGCAACTTCATTTCTCAGTTACTTAATAACCCTTGGGTCGATGCCATCTGGGCCCAGTGACTTACTGATCTTCAGTTTATCAATCCACATGCCTGCTGACATTTTCAATGAATTCTAAAAGGTTTGTGAAGCAAGACATTTCTTTTGCCAGAGTTTGTGTTCCTTTTTATTTTCCTCATTTGGGAAGGATTTCCATTTATGGAAGGACCCCTCCGTGCCCTTCATAGCCTCTCTAACTCCACTTGTTAGCCATGTCGGCACCCTCTTTGACTTAGTTCAGCCCTTCTTTATTTGTGATATACACTTCCACTGGGCCTCTACTACCATTGTTTTAAACAGGCTCCGTGCACTCTGGAGAGACTGGATTCTTTTTACCTTCCCTTTCAACTTCTTTCTAACTAGTTTCCTCATCTGAGGGAAGTCCACCCTTGGGAAATTAAGGGGTTTTGTGTCAGATTTGCTTGACACACTCCGCCCAACATGCGCGGAGAAAGAGATTGCAGCATGGTCACTATTCCCTAGCAGCTCAGTGACATTCACAGCCCTAACCAGGTCCTGAGTACAATATTAAATCCAGAGTCACCTGTCCTCTGGTGGGCTCCATGACAAGTTGCTCCAAGGCACAGTCATTTAGTATGTCAAGAAACCCAGTCTTTCTTTCTTGACCGGAGCACTCATTGGCCCAGTTGATGTGAGGTTAATAGCGACCCTTTGCAGTATATTTCAGGTGTACAGTACTCAGACGTGGTTTACCATTTCTTTCTTCTGGGGGCATTCTAGTGTAACTTTCCTAAGGCTACACCAGCTGGCTATTCTGGGATGAACAATGGAGAATCAAACTTCTAGCCTATGATTCTACAAAAAATGGCTAATTCACTGAGCTACCAACCAGATAAAATAATCTTCTTGAAACAAGATTGACACAAGGAATGTATTCAAAATTTTCTATCAATATGCCTCTCCGAGTGCTTCAAAATGTCTTTTAGATTTTAATTTTTGATAGTAGCTAGGAAATGTGTACCTATTATGCACAAAACTAACACCAGACCTACCCATTACATTATTTTTGAAATGTAACTTAGTCTTACCCTTATTATAAAGAAAAACAATTAGTTGCAAGAGACTGTGCTACTTATTATGACCTACATCAAGGCTCAGGTATTTAGCCGTAAAGTTTCAGAGCACAATCTGTGTCATAGTGGCAAGAATGGGCTTGACGCTAAAGTGTGTTATTAACAAACCTCTGCCTTCATCTGCATATGTTAAATTAAAGGTGAACCAGGACCTCAAGGAGAAGATGGCCGCATTACCATATTGGTAGAGAAAGGAAGAAAAGGGGAGCCAGGTCTCTCTGGTGACGAAGGCTTGCCAGGCACACAAGGTTAGTCAACAGTTTCTAAGTAACACAGGAGTCAATAAATGTAATGTTAAGTTCAGATTCTGATAAGCTTCTTCTATATTTTGGGAAGCAATTATGGGTTTGTAGTTACACTGCTGTTGAGTCCTTTTGGTGGCAGTTTTGGGGAGTTCCCTTGTTTAATAGACTGTCCTATAGGCTATACATGTGTTCTGTGCCATGTATGTCCTATAGTAATATATAATATATAAACTAAAGATTGGAAAAGTTGCACATTTGGACTACAGTTCCCAGAATCCCCAGGCAGCATAGCCATTTTTGTTAGGAGGATTCTGGGGCTTACAAGCTCTTTAAATAATTCCAGGTGATAAAGGCAGCCCTGGCTTCAGAGGGATCCCAGGATTGCCAGGCAGAAGTGCACCTCAGGGAACCCAGAAGGGCGAACCTGGTGATACTGGGGAGGCTGGTTTTCAAGGACCCCCAGGCTTTACAGGGGCTCCAGGACTTAGAGGTATAATTGGCTTTCCAGGACAACAAGGTGACCAGGTATGCAGAGGTATTTTCATCTAAAAGTCTTATGTTTACATTCACCTTTATACCTGTTTTGTTATGCAGTCGGTATGGGATCATAACAGCTACTTGTGTTACATATTTTCCTGATGCCTGAGGAACAGCTTCTCTGGCTATGGGATTTTTTTAAAAATCTAAACCTCAGCAATAAATGTGCTGTTTTTTAAAATTGGTTTTCATAGCTACTGAACAACTTCTTGAGTAAATGTCTTGCAATGCAGAAATGTCAAATTTGTCTGTGAGTTCCACTGGCCCTAGCTGTGTCTGTGGGGGCCCCGAGAGCTTCTCTGCTCTTGCTGTCTCTCTGAGGTCTGGTCCTGGCATTCCTGTTGCCTGTGTTTCCTCCAGCCAGTAATAAGATCAGGAAGGGGGCTGAGGCTTAGGTGCCTTTCCACCTCATTTTTTGGCATCCTCAGTTGACCCAGGATGTCAATCCAGAGGTACTCTTTATATGTGTATTGCTGGTCACTTAGGGACTGTGACTTCTCCAGGTGATCTTCTTCCATATGGAAGCCCTTGTTGGGGACCTCTAGGGTTTCCCTCCAAGGTCCCTCTTCCTCTGTCTCCTGTACCTCCGCATATGGCAACAGATCCCCTATTTAGATCCTGTACCCCCCTCTCTCTTTCCCTTCTCTTGACCCCTTGTCCTCTAAAGCCTGTGTCTAGGTTCCCCATTCTAACATCTCAAGTTCTTTGGCCATGGGTTCTCCCAGCACACATTCCAACCAGAAGGAATCTCCTAAGTCCACTGGGAAGCTTGCTGTTTGCAGTTCCCTAGAACCAGGAAGAAAGTGAGTCGGCCTACCCACGGGGTACCTGTGACACTGTCATTCCCACACTATCCTTCCATGTCAGCTACATTCAGGTTAGCTTCTTTTAACAAGCAGAACAAACATATTGGGCATTAAAGGTAGACTCTCCCTAAGATAAAGATTATTGTTTGTGAGGTGAGCTTTTAAAAGGTTGTTATAGTATTTATATGACTTGTGATTTTCAGCCTTGTTTTCAGGGAGGCTGTTTAAAAATGAAAAAAATGGCAAAATCAGCTCTAAAGCCTCTGTGAACTCTGTTCACATCCAGAATGGTTGTTCCAAAGGAAGTCATGTGTAATATTATTTTTAAAAGTCAATTCTCTGCATTATCAGAGATTGCAGAATGGTGCATAAAAGATTATCATTTTATTTTAGAATTTGGAGGTACTTAATAAATATGAGAAAAGAGATCTTCCTCAGACTGAAAGCCTATCTAGTCCAGCATTCTTTTCACACATTGTCCAGTCAGTTGCCTACAGGAAGACCCCCCCCCAGGAGGATAAGAATTTAGCTTCACTCTCCATTTTGCATTCCCTAGCAAATGATCTACAGAGCATTCTGCCTCTTATACTGGAGGTGACATATGGCCCTCCCAACAAGTAGCCAAGGATGGCCCTAACCACCATGAATTATCTAGTATATCTTTAAAGCCATCCATATTAGCCACCATTGCTACATCTTGTGGACATGAATTCTGCAGTTCAACTGTGTGCTGTGTGAAAAAGCATGGGTTTCCCCCTTATCTCTTCTGAGTGGCTTACCATACAGCTTCAGCAGATGACCTTGGGTTTTAGTATTATGTGTGTGAGAGAGCTAAACTTCTCCCTATCAACTCTACTTACACCATGCATAATTCTGTGTACCTCTGTCAGATCTCCTCTTACTCCACTCTGGAGAACTGCACAATTATTTTATATAATAATTGATGGAACATTTTCTTTAAATGCAACAATCAGGGTGGACAAGGATTGCCAGGTGCTCCAGGAATTCCAGGATCTGATGGTCAAAAAGGATCTAAAGGTAATGAAATAATGGCAATATGCTGAACAAATGCATGAAAATTACCATTCCATAAATACATTAGGAAAAATAAATATACAAACAAAAATAATCAAAAATCTCAAGACTGACTTGTATATCTCAAGGAAAGCTTTCACGGACCATCCTGGGGATGAAATACTGGTACCAAGCAAATGCTTGTATCATGTTACATGTTTTAGAATATGGTAGAGGTTTTTTTTTTACATAAGATTATTAGATTTTGGGAATGTGAAATAAATTGTGATTAGAGTAACAGTACTTTGCTTGCTTTTTACTTTGCTCTTTTTTGGCTTTTCTTGCTTTTTGCTTTGCTCTTTTTTTGATTTCTGAAGGGTCTTGCACAGTTTATTCATGAAGGCTTTCACGGCTGGGATCTAATGGTTGTTGTGGGTTTTTCAGGCTCTTTGGCCATGTTCCGAAAGTTGTTCTTCCTAACGTTTCGCCAGTCTCTGTGGCCGATGGGTCTTGCAGGTTTTTTTGTGTGGTTTTTTAAATATGTCCTTCAATGTTATAGATAGATAAGGTGGTCAGGAACTCTCATTTCTTTCAGAACTTGCCATTTGGTCTCTAGTTCCTCTGCCCCTTCAAAATCCAGCTTGAACTTCTGGGAGTTCTCAGTCCACATACTGCTGAAGCCTACCTTGTAGGATGTTAACCATAATCTTGCTAGCGTGTGAAATGAGTACAATTGTACAGTAGTTGGAGCATTCTTTGGCACCACCCTTCTTTGGGATTGGGATGTAGACTGATCTTTTCCAGTCCTCTGGCCACTGTTGAGTTTTCATAACTTGCTGGCATGTGGAGTGTAGCACCTTAACACCGTCATCTTTTAAGATTTTAAATAGTTCAACTGAAATGCCATCACCTCCACTGGCCTTGCTGTTAGCCATGCTTTCTAAGGCCCACTTGACTTCACTCTCCAGGACGTCTGGCTCAAGGTCAGCAACCACACTATCTGGGTTGTCTGGGACATCCACATCTTTCTGGTATAGTTCCTCCATGTATTCTTGCCACTTCTTCTTGATATCTTCTGCTTCTGTGAGGTCCTTTACCATTTTTGTTCTTTATCACGTCCATCTTTGCACAAAAGGTTCCTTTAATATCTCCAATTTCCTTGAACAGATCTCTGGTTTTCCCCTTTCTATTATTTTCCTCTATTTCTTTGCATTGTTCATTTAAAAAGGCCCTCTTGTCTGTCCTTGATATTCTTTGGAAGTCTGCATTCCGTTTTTTGTAACTTTACCTATTTCCCTTGCGTTTTGTTTCCCTTTTCTTGCCTGCTATTTGTAAGGCCTCGTTGGAAATCCACTTTGGTTTCTTGCATTTCCTTTTCTTTGGGATGGATTTTATTGCTGCCTCCTATACAATGTTACGAGCCTCCAGCCATAGTTCTTCAGGCACTCTCTGTCCATCAAATCTAGTTCCTTAAATCTGTTCTTCACTTCCACTGTGCATTCAGAAGTGATTGGGTTTAGATTCTACCTGACTAGCCCAGTGGTCTTTCTTCAGTTTAAGCTTGAGTTTTGCTGTAAGAAGCTGATGATCAGAGCCACAATTAGCTCCAGGTCTTGTTTTTGCTGACTGTCTAGAGCTTCTCCATCTTTGGCTGCAGTGAATATAATCACTCTGGTTTCGGTATTGCCCATCTGTTGATACCTTTCAACATCTGCTTTTTAAATTTTAATATTCTTTTGGTGTAGACAGTCAAAAAGCGTATAGTTGAAGGCCCTAATGTACATCAAAAGAGTTACAGCCAAAGAAGCCCTTAGAAAAATTAAAAGCCTAAAAGTTCTATGAAGCAATAGTACAAAGTCAGAACCACTGTGACAAAGCCAATATAGACAGGGGGGAAAGTGTTCTGTTTATTTACTTATTATGTTGGACACTTCTTGTTCCTGAAAGCAATTTATATCTTTGAATTTTTGCAGGTACTAGAGGTGATCCAGCCATTAGCTTTGGCCAGCCTGGAGAGAAAGGTTCTAGAGGAGATCGAGGATTGCCAGGTTATTATTATATGTTTTGTTTATTTGGCAACAAATATATACTAGTTCTTTCTTTCTTTATTCATATCAGAGTGTTGTACAATTCAAAATCTGGACTCATAAAAATACTGTATAGACAAAATCAAAAACCAATTAAAATGGCCAGACAATTAGATTATTTTTAATCAGAAGTGATCAGAGCTTAATAAGCATGCAGAAACTAGTTAAATAACATGCTTATCATCTTATTACGTATATTAATTTGTGACTAGAGGTGGTCACAAACCACTGGTTTGGTGATTCGTGCTGGTTCATTTAGTGGCCAGCAGTGGCCATTTAGTGCACTGGTTCTTAACCTTGGGTTACTCAGGAGTTTTGGACTGCAACTCCCAGAAGCCTTCACCACCAACTGTGCTGGCTGGGGTTTCTGGGAGTTGCAGTTCAAAAGCACCCGAGTAACAAAGGTTAAGAACCAGTGATGTAGTGGATGAAGCAGTGCTTCAAAGCCCTGCTTCATCCAGCAGGCACCCACTCAGAGGCAGGGCCCAGAGAAGGTGGGGCAGGAAGCCAGGCCATTGCTTCCAAGTTCGGTGCCTGCTGGGGGAGGAAAAGCTTTGAAGCACTGAACATCTGTTTGGCTGCTAAATGAACCAGCACAAGTCAGCAAACTGGTGGTTTATGTCCATCTACTTAAAGACTAATAAACTCTGAAGTTTGAAGTGATGAACATGGTTTAATCATACTTTTACTATACAGTACACATTTTGACTCTTCATGCATTCCTTTTTGGTGTACAATGAAGTATGCACCACACATAATTGTGTATTTATTTGTAAAGACTTACATCATGCATATTTGGCTCCAGCTTCCTACTGAGTATGTACAGTAATTATTTGGAAACATATGTTTGTTTCTATACAATGTATGAAATATCTACAGTCACATATTTGTTTGTTTGTTTGTTTGTTTATATTAGATTTATATACCGCCCATCTGGAATGTGTCTACTTTGGGCGGTTTTACATGGCAAGTAAAAACAGAGAAGCCTTTATATAATCATAGTGTAATATGTTAAGTTCAAATAATACAGTTACCACTGTGTTGCTGCTTGCCACTACCACCTAGTGAACTCATTGTTGTGATAGCATACGGGTGGGCACGGCCCTTTGAAACCTGGATCTAGCCCTTTTTACATCTTCAGTTATATTGCTCATTCTGTAGGATTGTTGTGGCTTATCTGTGTGACTATTGTAGTCTACACTTCTTCAAATTGTATATTTACAAATCAAGTGTTCAAAAATAGTGTACTGCACAGTGCACTTGAATCTGAAGTAAGCAAGTCCTGTTTTCCCATTGTACTAGCCCACACATACAAGATGGCTATGTAAAATAATATGTCGATGTGTTTCTGAAAAGCTACTACTTTTAGTAGAATAATGAAGCATGCAGGTTCTGCCTTATTGTTATGGAGACTAAACTAGCTACTTCTGATGAGAGATAACTGAGAGTGGGAATTAATAATGTAATTTTGGAAGTGATAGATGTGTGGGTTGTACAGTCTAAACTACATCCTCTAAGCTAGTCTGCTTCCCTTAGGTGCAGTGAAAGAGGCTGGCCTCTATCAACAGTGCCATAGTGAGATTCAATTCTGTCTGGTTGGCTTTCTTGCATGGAAGAGGAGGGGGCAGCTTCCTGTTCATGTCAGGCAGAGAAAACTCTTGGGCCAGTCCTAGAATTATAACTATTTGCATAGAACATGCCACTTTAGAAATCCACTGTATTAAAAATCTGTTAAACTAACTCATTAACTTCTTCCTTTGTTTGGCTAAGGATTTGATGGATTACCAGGAGACCAAGGCATACCAGGTGTTCAAGGGAGACAAGGAAGAGACGGATTCAAAGGTTTACCTGGATATGCAGGAACACCTGGCTTCCCAGGTGAGCTAGAAGTAGGGAAAGGAAAACTAGATTCACTAAAAAGTTAATCACCAATTACATGTAAAAGGTATGGGTAGGTCAGTGGCTGGAAGTATGTCCACAGTGGAATGCAGGACTCATTCAAACAATAATCTTCATGCTCACCTTCATTCTTCATTCTCCTTTACCTGTTGCAGCCATGTGGAAAAGTCAGACTTGTTGGTTTCTGTAACATCTTCCTGTATTAGGTAGGCATCTTCATAATGAAGGCACATCTAGGGATTAATGTTTCTATTATATGTTACTATAGTATATGTATTTGAAAAAAAATGCTATTGCACATCTGAAGTAATGGTATGCTCCCAGCTTTACATTGATATTTTATATACAAATGTACGCCAAAATCAGTGGGCACCCTCTGGGCCCATGCATGCTTTTCTCCTCGGTTTTCCATGTATTAGACGCCCCTCAGTGTAATGATTTTAGGAAAAAGTATTGTCTTATACACAGAAAAATATGGTAACCATAATGAATATCTCTTGTAACTACAGGTGCTCAGGGAGCTGTCGGCTTAGCAGGAGCTCCAGGTGAACAAGGTACTCCTGGTATTTTGGGACTTCCAGGTTTGCCAGGATTACCTGGCAGCCTAGGTAGAAAAGGTAAACCAATATTTTGTGACTTGTGGCAGTAAATGGGGTGGGCTGCTGAAGTTGACAAGTGCAATTGTAAATATAAATGTAAAATTTGTATGTTGAAAACACAGCATGTAAACTCAGAAGGAGGTCTCAATTTGTGTAACAGTCCAGATTTGGAACTCTGTTTATTAAATCCTAGCTGAAAAAAGTAAGGGCAGAATGCATTTCCCTAGAGGAACTGTGATTGATCTCCACATGGTTTTGCTTTAGATAACAACAAAATATTTTCCCCTGGAACTTTAGATGTTACATGTCCCTGGACTCCATTTTATGATTTTGTGTGGTTGTAATCTTTTATTTTAGTATTATAGCTAATATTTTTAATTAAATATAAATGAAGCAGATCTGGTATGTCTCAGTAGGTTAGAGCATCTGCCTTTGTTTTTTATAAAAGAGATACATGCCACCTTATACTAAGGGCAGTGAAGTAGATTTAATTTTAAGTTCAAAATTAGCATAAAGATTGTGATATTTTGAGCTGGTCTTAAGAAATGAGCAAGTATGTAGATCCCCCTCCCACACACACAAAGCGTACTACTCAAGAGTGAATACAGTATTTTGGACATTTAATTGTGAACTGAAGATTTTTACAGGAATTTTAGTGAAGGCTAATAAATAATGAGAGCACATTTGTTAAAGTAGTTGCATCTGTGTTAGGAATTCATTATTTTTTTAAAAAGTAAACTTTAACCTTATAGTTTGTGCCAATTCCACCTACAGAAATAGTTTTCAGATGTACGTAGAGGATTAGTATTATACTGTAGAGCCCTTCTGCTATGGGGAAAAAACCTATAAGCAGCAGCACACGTTATTCTAGTTTTTAATTACTACTTTCATAGTTGTAATTAATGGCCAAGTCTTAAAACCACATTCACTTGAATTATTCTTGAAGTTTAAACAGCTTTATATTTAAATAAGGCAAGCTGCAGAATCATGCTGTAATATATAGCAACAGTTCATGTGTAGTTCAGCCAACTAAACTTATAGACTGTAACTGTTCCAAATGTAAACGTAAAAGTGTTGATTTTGTTTTGAATTGCTGGCAAAATTGTTAGAAATTGCCTAGAAAAGTAAACAAAACCATCAATCATAGTTGAGTAAAACAAGGATCAAGAGACTTAGAACAGTAAACTGGATTCTGAAGATTGACTACAACCTTTAATGTTTACCTATGCTGTAGTCAGGCCCTGCATAAGGTATTATCTCTTATTTTGTGTGTTGTCAAAATACTGACAATAAAGTGTAAACAGTAAACAATAAATTTCAGATGCAGAGTAGTGATCTCTCTAGTTCTTTAGCTGTTACTGGGTGGAACAGTACTGTAAGTAATTAAAAAACACAGAGAGGGCATTTAGAGAAATCTCTTTTCATTTTCAGATGCTGAAATTAACAATTTTTTAAAAACACACACCTTGAATATGGAGGAATTCTTGCCCATTTGTTGATTCGTACCTCAGCTTTTGACCAAAGACCTCAAGGCTTATTTTTCTCTTCCTTACCTATGAAGTAGAGAGAATGAGTGAGAGTGTGTGACTGGCCTAGCCAGTGAGTTTATTGGTTGGGTGAGGACTTAAACCTGGATGTCCCAAATCCCAATCCAACAGTTCTAAGCACTCCAGTATACTTGCTTGCTATAAGATAGCCTTTAAAAAAAGAAGAAGCACAAAGCCATATATAGATCAATTTTAAAATGGGGTGAGTCAGTTGGTGAAGGGTCTGCCCCACGTAAAGCTTTCTAGTTTGCTATAGAAAGTGCAGGAAGTTTTTTCATTGCTTGCCTCAGTAGGGCTGTCATTTTTGCATCTTCTCTACCACTGAACCAATATGGTAGAACTCAACTATACCAGTTTTAGGCTAGTGTACTAACAGGAACCAGCCCTGGCTGAGTCAAAGAAACAATGAGTGTTTGGATCTGGCAGATTTCAATTAAATTGGCCAAAGCGTCCCTTTTGGCCTCATTCTCCTGGTGGCCAGTAGATGAGTGTCATTGAGCTTGCAACAGTCACACTGGAGGCTTCAAAAGCAGAGATATACCACCCTACTAATAGATCACCTCTCAAAGAGTTGATGGTCACTGTCTCCCCAGCCTAATCCTGCTCCATTGATCTCAGCTGAGGACAGGCTATTGCATCATAAAAGTTCAGGAAAACTGTTGTATAGGAAAATGACTTTAGTTTCCTGCTCTTTTTCATATACTACTCTTTAGCTCTGTAACTCTTCAAAAATTGTCACTTACAATATTTTCTGTAAAACATGCTGATGTGCATACTGCTAAAATGTATTTCATTATTTGGTCTCGAGTTTTTTCCCCCATGGCTACTTTCCTGTTTTAAATCCTTCCATTGTTCTCTTCCCTGTAACATTTACAAGGCATTTCGGGACTGCCTGGATTAAATGGTTTGAATGGGCTGCAGGGTCAAAAGGGGCCATCAGGATCTCCAGGTAAAGAATCAAAATTACTGCATTAAAAAGTGTGTGTGTGTCTCAGTGTCTCAATGCCGACAAGTGAAAGACGCTGCTGGTCAGTTGAAAAGCAGATGAGGGAACAGGGCTGCAATGTGTGCTGGATAGGGTTGCACTCATCCTGAAAACTGAGGTCCACAGTTTAGGTATCCTCTTGGATTCATCCATGAACCTGGATGTCTAGGTTCCAGCAGTGGCCAGGAGTACATTTGCACAGATAAAACTGCTGCCTCAGCTGTACACATTGAGATGTCTCATTCAGCTGCAGTGAGACATGTCTTAGTTATATCTTGCATGCAAGGTTCCCTCTAAGGCATGTGCCTCTGCGCACATGTGCAGCTCCACCTCCTTCCAGGCTACTTTCCTCCTGTCCATGCAGCGATCGTTTCCAGCCCTTTTGGTTCCAGTCATGATGGGAGGCAGAATCATGTATGCATGCAAGGGCAAAGTCACAAGAGAGAGAGGTGTAATTAATGTACTTTTAATTATTATTATTATAGTTTAATTTCTTTATAATTTTTTTTTAAATGTGTAATTTATTGTGTTTTTAACTTTACTTGTTTTTAGCACTGTGAACTGCCTTGGGTTGACTCACTGGAAGAAAGGCAGCCTGCAAATGATACAAATAAATAAATAAATAAATAAAATTTATTGACCTGCAGTGTGGAAAGTGTTTCAAAAACTAAGACTTGTACCCTTTTTGTTTGAAAGACATTGAGAGGCCTAATTTAGTGATGCCAGTAATTTGGAGACAGAGCTGGAAAATGTTGATTAACTTCACCTGGGAAGAAGCAGCATGTGTGATGCTCACTGGAATTCTGTGAAGCTTTATGCTATGTTGTAATTCCCTCCTGAAGGTTTAAATGAAATTGGACCTCCAGGAGACATTGGAGATCCTGGACCAAAAGGCGACAGAGGAGAACCTGGGCTTCCAGGTGTTTCATATCCAGGGCCACCTGGAGACATGGGCCTCTTAGGGCCTCCTGGTAAGAAACTGTTTTCTCCATTGTTTTTATGCAGGAACATAGTTTATTTTCTGCCATCTAGTTAATGGGAAGGTGGAGTGTTTTGTTTCCTTATAACGACATGATAATAGTGAGTAGGTTCCTAAGATTCACATTCAAACACATCCCACATGGCATTAAACCAATGGATGTGCTATATGGGGAGGAATTGAAATTCTTTTGGAAATGCAGTGTTTGGGGGGAAAGGAACAGACCAGTGACTGAAACACAGCCTTGTCAGCTCAGACTTGTAATTAGCAGAGTCCTTCTTCAAGTCCTGGTGAAGGAAATAACACGCACACACACTCTTCTTCTTGCAAGACACTTGTATTTATAATATGTACAAATATACAGAGCAGCAGTCCTTCGGCGTGGCAACAATATAAGTAAGTAGAGGCAAAGTAATGGATAAAAAGAATAGAGGAGAAGGTAGGAGAATAAAGAGAGTACATCATGTATACACAGTACAGTTATATACATGCAAGTAGATGCTTCTGTCCAACCAGGACAGGTGTTGCATCATCCTCAGACACACCTCTTCAATGTCACTGTGACTCAGCACTTCTGAGTCTGCACAGGTGAACAATATGGCAGTTCATTATTTCTGCTGCCTTGACCTCTTCAGGCCTGTAAATTCTCAATGTTCTAACAAGCCTTTTAAAATTTCATAGCACCTTCACAGCCACTGTTATATATCGGGGTCCCCAACCCCGGTCCACGGCCTACTGCCAGTCCGTGGCTTTGGCAGGACTGGGCCACGGAGAGAGATCTCCCACCACCTGCACGCACTAACCCAACGAACACCCACATGCACAGCCCGCCCACCCGTATGCACAGGTGCCCCACCCGCCTCCGCATGCACGCGAGTGTGACCTGCCCCTTGCGAGTGTATCCCACCCACGCATGTGCGAGCGTACGACCTCCCCCCCTGTGAGCACAACCCGTCCACGAGCACAGGAGGTGCCCAGGCTCCCCGTACCCGCACGCACTAACCCAACGAACACCCACATGCACAGCCCGCCCACCCGTATGCACAGGTGCCCCACCCGCCTCCGCATGCACGCGAGTGTGACCTGCCCCTTGCGAGTGTATCCCACCCACGCATGTGCGAGCGTACGACCTCCCCCCCTGTGAGCACAACCCGTCCACGAGCACAGGAGGTGCCCAGGCTCCCCGTGCACGGAGCCCACCCCACCCCAACTGGTCTGCAATTCAGAACCACTGTTATATATCACTATATTTCCAGCAATAAAATACAAAATACTTTCCTTTTTCTTACAGGCAGGCCAGGTGCTACCGGACCTGCAGGCCCAATGGGTCAGCCTTCTGAAAACAAGCTTCCTGGGCCTCCAGGTGACCAAGGTCCTCCTGGCATAGATGGGACAAGAGGTGCTAAACTTTTGTACGATTTGGGCGGCTAATCAGAACAGTTAGAAGGAAGCCACTAAAACAGGGTAAAAGTCTCCCAGAGATTCTTTTCTAAGGCAGGCAGTTCCTCTGTTCCAGTCAAGGACTTAGGAGAATAGGGTCTCCTCACCTCATAGGAAGTAATTGGATAATTCAACTTTATTATATTTCCCATAGGAATGGACTGAAAACCAATTAATCCGTTCTGGCTGTTTTTTTGTTATGTAGAGGTGCGTTCGTACATTGAAGCATTAGTTCCCATAGGAACTAATGCAAAGCTGGTTAATACGTACTCTACCACTAGGGGGAGAATTTTTTTAACCTAAGATGACCTAAGGTTAAAAAAAGAGCAGGAAAGGTTTTTTTTCTCCTGTTCTTATCTTGGATTTCTGTTCTCAAGTAGAAGCAAAATTTAGCAAATGGAGCTGTTCTTAAGTTGGATTGTTCTTAAGTAGGGACGTTCTTAAGTAGAGACCCCACTGTATGCCTTTACCATGTAAACTGCTCTGGTGGCCTTTGACGAAAAACTGACTCTAATAAAGTGATTATATATAAAGTCTTGACTCCTTCTAAACCAGATAAAAGATATTAGGGGTCCAGATCAAACCAATAGCTGTGGGGGGGGGGAAACATTTGGTGACCTTCCGTGGTAGATCTGGATAAGAAATCCAGTAGAAATATTGCCTATCAATGTAGGACAGTCCTTGGCTAGATGGAACAGTGCTTTGACCGTGAAAGGCAGCTTCCTACATTTCTCTGATAAGCCCAAAGGATAATGTATGCTTCCCTTGCTACCCAGCACCATTTTTAGTAATTAATTTAATTTCTTTTGGGAATATGTGTATTTAAGTTGTTTCTAAAACCACTACACTGAAACCTGTTGGATGTTTCATTATCTGTCATCCTTGATTAAGACATCTTGGCTCATTTGTTATCAGGGATATTTATTTTTCCCCCCAGGTCTTCCTGGCAAGCCTGGTCCTCCAGGAAATACCATTCTTGTTAAAGGCGATCCAGGTGATTGTGGGACATATGGCTCACCTGGTCCTCCTGGTCCTCCAGGAAAACCAGGAAATAAAGGCATTCCAGGAAACCCAGGAAGGGATGGCATGAGAGGTATGGCTTGATATTACTAGTTTGCATGTGAATCAAATAACATAAATTATTTATCTTAATTTTATTTATTTGTTTATTTCTAAATGTATTTGTTTAGTTAAAATCACAGAGTGGTGTTAGTTCAAATTCCCTCTTTGTTAAGGTCCAATGGGAAACCCTGGTTTGCAAGGCCCCCCTGGTGCCCGTGGCGAATTCGGAGATCAAGGCTTTCAAGGACTACCAGGCCCTATGGGTCCCAAAGGTAATTAACATTTTTTTCTCATCACCAAACACATATTAGCTGCTCTGAATTTTCCTTTATGACCCACTGTACATTGCCCAAATACAGATAATTATACAGTACAATGTTAATTGATATACCTTAATGAAACCTTTGCAAAGTTCTGTCCAATTCAGTGAAACTGGGCATGTCAAGGCTGGAAGTCTGCTTGTCTGTAATAGATGGATAAAGTAGGCACAATGGGACAAAAAAATCAAGGGCAAATCTGTTTTGCAAAAAGGGATAGACAGTGAAAATAATTCCCCAAACCTTAAGACCAACCTAAATGGCATGGCAGTGTGCAGCCCTTGGACATGTCTGGAACCTTCCACCAGGATCTATTGACCTACAGGTGAGTGGGTGGTGAAGGTGGGAGAAAATAAATAAAACATAATTATGGTGATAAAGAGTTTTCCAGGCCATTTCATTCATGTAAATAGCATGTTCATGTCTTTTGTTGTAGTCGTTTCAGTCGTTACATGCACACCAGAACAGCTCTGCTATTATGCTGAGCAAGTTGACTGATTTGGGACATCATAAAAGGGCAGCAAATTGTTAGTTATTCAGTTTATGTCAGCCAAAATCCTACTGGCGTTTGGGGGGTTTATATAACTTGCCATGACTAATTGCAGCAAATTGACAAGGTGGCAGGGTGTAGCTCAGTCAGTTGCTTGGCCACCCGCCCGACTGTTCAATCGAGATGCACTTTAGCACTTCCTCATGGCAAACCTTACACAAGCCTTACACAAACACTGATATGATTCCTACTCCTAGCATTTTGTTTTAAATTTGTCTAGTGTTTTATTTATTCAGCTTATTATTCTAGTGCCAGGGGGGCTGGCTGGTGCTTGTGGCATTTTCTGCCTCAGGTGCGAACATTATTTCACTGCCCTTGGTTTCAGTGACAGTGAATGCTGGGCTGGGGTACCATTTGCTGCCCTGTCTCAGGAAGAAAGAGGTCTTCATCGATCTCCACAAGCTATTATAGTTTTTGTCATAAATTTGTACTAACTGTCTGCATGATGCTTGTTTCCTTCCTGCATGTGAAATGACTGTCACGATCTGATTTTTGGTATTCAACCCACCAGGTTGCAGAGGTAAGCTGCAGAAGGAGAAATTCCTTTTGGAGAACTTTTTTTCCTGAGTGCTGATTTATTTTGCTTTGCTCTTAAATCTTTCTCTCTCTCTTTTCATTTTGGCTAAAAGTGTTGATTAAATTCTGTTATGAACATGTTGCATTTTCTCTGTACCAAAGAAGTTTATGATGCTCTAAATATTTTCTGAGACTACACTCAGCTCCTTATTAATGATGCATTATAGGGATTATGGGCCAGAACTGGGCAATGTGATGAGTCCTTCGGGAAGAATGAATGTTACATCAGATCTTAGTCCTTCTCAGAAATGAACTAACAGACTGACCCTCTACTATGGGGAGCAATGACATGCTGATGCTTGAGACTGCACTAAATGCTTGCATCTTCCTAAGTGTGCAAGAGGGTATGCCATATTTTCCATTCTGGAATATGCAATTTCATCTTTTAACAATAATTTGAAAAGTGACAGGGGCTTTTCCCCAGAGCAAGGCACTCTTCTTCCTGCAAAGGTCTCTTCTGCTAATTATGCAGCTCAAATGTGAGGGCTGTCAGTGGAAAGCTAGTAATACTGCACCCACTCTTTTTCCCCCATCATATTTAAAGTAGTTAATAGCCCCTTCCTTTGCTACTAACAGTTATAGCAGTAACATAAAGAGCCAGTTAGTGAAATGTTCAGAAGAATCCACTCCGAAATCAGGGAAAGCCTACATGAATTTTCTGTCAACATGGGTCTTTCTGGGCTATGACCTTCTTCTTATATTAGTGATATTGTACATTTCAGGTGACCCAGGTGAAGCCGGAATAGTTGATTATTCGCTGTGTCCCAAGATTCCAGGGCCACCTGGAGTGTTAGGTCTAAGAGGATCACCAGGTCCCACTGGATTAAGAGGGCCACCAGGCTTTCCTGGTCCCCCAGGTAAAGATTTTATGACCTTGAGAAATACATGATATGCAAGGAAGAAGCAGTCACTAAGGCTTTAATTACAAATCTTTCCAGTTCACCAATCCCAAAGGAGTCTACCTAACTCCATATTGACTTCAGTTTATGTTACATAATTTGACAATGCCTTCCTTCTATATTTCTACGATTTTTACTAATAATAGTAAATGTTCAATATTAATGTGGTCTTTGCTACAACTGGAATACATTGTCTAAATATAGCATGTTACTGTATACAATGTTATACAAAAATATATACAAAAACTACCGTATATGTAGCATCCAGTACTTTACTTTGTATTAGTTGTGTAAAAGATAACCTTGTGTAAAAGATTCTTCTTAAATATTGGTCGTGGAAATAAGATACTGTAGAGCTATTTTCTGTAGTTGGCTTCAGAACTTTAAATGATATAAATTTCAATCTAGAAGACAAAAGTTGGCCATTAATAATTATATATACTTATTTCTGCAAATTGAAAATGTCATATTTATGTGGCTTATATAGACCTTTACTTTTGTTAGGATGCTTGGTACTTCTTTTGAAATCCAACAAACTTAGTTTGCCAACATTTTCTTGATCTTGGGTTTTAAAATATATCTTTCTTTTTTTCCAGCCCATATTCCAAACTACCATTGTATTTTCCCACCATATTTTTGTAGTACAGTTCTCTATAAAAAGGAATGAAAAATATGTTTTTTCCCTTAATACCCTACATAACAAAGGATGGCCATTCCTGTCATGGTCTCCATTTCTACCCTAAGAGGCTATAATGCTTTTGATTGCAATAAAATAAGTAGATCAGGTTGCCAACTATGGAATATGGAACAGTTGAGAAGTCAGTATTTATCTTTTTTTTAAAAAAAAACTATTTTGTATAGTTTCTAGAGGGATGCAGTTATGACTCCATAGGAATCATCCATGGCCTGTTTAAAGTTATATGTGAATGCCTTAATATGGATCCTTACACAGAGCAGAACTAGGGTTGCTTGACCAGGTAAATGTGTTGTACTGTATTTTAGGAATGAAAGGAGAAGAAGGATCCTTTGGTCTTCCAGGTCAGATTGGTTCGCCTGGGCCACCTGGACTCCTGGGTGATCAAGGTGACATAGGAGAAAAAGGATACACAGGGCTGCAAGGTAGATGACCTTATACACACAATTGCATATCATATTTTTAGGGAAATACTTGTGTTACAAATTAGTGTATATGTATATATATTTAATAGGGGATGTGGTGGCGCTGCGGGCTAAACCGCAGAAGCCTTTGTGTGCTGCAGGGTCAAAAGACCAGCAGTCGTAAGATCGAATCTACGCGACAGTGAGCTCCCATCGCTTTGTCCCAGCTCCTTGCCAACCTACCAGTTTGAAAGCATGTAAATGCAAGTAGATAAATAGGTACCATCTCGGTGGGAAGGTAAACAGTGTTCCGGGTTTAAGTCGCGCTTGCCACATGACAACGGAAACTGTCTTCAGACAAACGCTGGCTCTACGGCTTGGAAATGGGGATGAGCACCGCCCCCTAGAGTCAAACACGACTGACTAAAATGTCAAGGGGAACCTTTACCTATATAAGTTTAATAATTGGTCAGAATCCTGTTGGTTTATGCTAGGTTTGCATAATTTGCTGCAGCTAATTGTAGCCTCTTGATGAAGTGCCAAGTTGTATATATATTCCTGTGGCAACTGAGAGATGGCCCAGCATGTTGCTGGTTAATCATAGTTAGCTTCAGCAAGTTCCTGCTATTATGTAAGGAATGATCAAAAACTTTGGCAGTGAAACACTCACTTTGTGTTCCTGGAGTGTCAAGTCTCAGATATAATCTAAGGTCTTTACATTTTGACTTCTAAATTCTGATGATGTTTGATTGAGGAAGCTACTATGCCATTAACCATGATGGACAAGTTTGCCATTTAATTTGGAGCTCAAGAATTTAGAACCTTGAACTGATTAGTCAAACCTGTTCTAAACATCATTTTTATAACCTAGGCCATCCTTTGAAAGAAAATGTTAATTGTCTACTTTTCTTCCATTTGGTAAGGTCTTCCTGGTCCAACTGGAATGCCAGGTCCACCAGGACCAGAAGTGAGAATTGTTAGTGGGTTTTTGCTTGTTCTTCATAGTCAGTCAGACAGAGAACCATTTTGCCCAGAAGGAATGGCAACACTGTGGACTGGATACAGCCTACTGTATTTTGAAGGGCAAGAGAAAGCCCATAATCAAGATCTAGGTGAGTATTGCAAACAATTGAGAAGACTGTCTCTGAATTCCTGTTTTTATTTAGATCAGGTCTCCAGACATAATACCCTCATGTGAAGACACAACATGGTAGGTACAAAAAGGTAGTGTCTTATCAGAGATAGTGTTAGAACTGACCATCCATTTAATTTCAGAGAAAAGAACAATGGCAAAGCAAATGTCAGTAGTGACTAACTTGGGTCTTCCTTGCAAACCAGTGATCTTGACCTGTTTCAGAGCAAAGGTTCTTTTCTAACCTGCTGGGACATTAATTACCCACTTAATTCTGCTGAAGGAAGGATGACAGAGGATTAACTGAAAAGGGCAAGGGCATGTGGATATCATGGCCTTCTTCTGCTGCCACTGCCATTTATGGTTTTTCATCCCCATGCCCTATATCACTGAACTATGATCCTTCGAGAGTAAGGAATTCATTTATAATTTACACATTAAACTTATTGTGGGTAAGATAACTGCATACTTGAACAAAGAGGTACAATAGGTAACTGTCTGTTCTAGATAGCATTTTCCTGAGCTGATAAATTTCACATCTTTCCTATCACCAAAAATCCTTATTCATCAGCCACATGCCTAGCAGGTGTAAGTGGGGTGGCATAAAACTCAAGACAACTAGCTTCTAATTGTTCTTAAGTCCTTGGTTACTTGGATTATTAATTATGAAACCATGGTGGATTTCTCCTTTGTTTCAGGTCTGGCTGGGTCTTGTCTTCCTGTGTTCAGCACCATGCCTTTTGCTTACTGCAATATCAATCAGGTTTGCTACTATGCAAGTCGTAATGACAAATCTTACTGGCTGTCCAGTGCAGCTCCTTTGCCCATGATGCCTGTTTCCGAAGAAGAAATAAAACCCTACATTAGCAGATGTGCTGTATGTGAAGCTCCGGCCCAAGCTGTTGCAATCCACAGTCAAGACCAATCCATTCCCCCTTGTCCACTGAACTGGAGAAGTCTTTGGATAGGCTACTCATTTTTAATGGTAAGATTGAGGATTATGTAGATCCACACAGGAAAATTAGGTTATCAAATATACTGAAACTTCGATTCTAATTCAGAGTCGACTTGGACAGAATTGGGCTGTCAGTATTTCTGAAATCATTCACTTCAAGTTTTACATATTCATTGACTGACAGGCTTTCAAAGTTCCAGATCATCATCTGACAGAATCATTTTATTTCCTAACCTTGTGTATGAGTTTAGTCACCCAACAACTGGATCCAAGCTACAAACTAAATGAATATTTATTTGGATATACACTGGAGGCCATAAACCATTGTCTGTAACCCGTGCACACTCCATAAAATAAGAACTACAGACACATTTCTCACCTCTAAAATTCTCTTGTAAAATATGAATAGAGCAATAATAGAATTTCGTGGGTTGAGTTTTTCTTCCTGCCTTTCAACAGCTATAATAAAGCTAGACAGTTTACATTATTTTTGTTTTTCTGCTGAGAAAACAGCGTTATCTGAGGAGTTACTAATATTGTTGTCCAGTCTTTACCTGTCTTGATTTTGACATGACTTAAGTGTTGTTTCAATCATTCTTGGCACAGCGGAGTGCAGAAGACATAATACTGAATGGTAATAAATTCAAGCCAAAACGACAGGAAACAACACAAGTATTTTCCAAGATGATATAAGGTTGCAGGAAAATAGTAAACCCATCTGAACATCTACTAACTGTTAAATCACTGGGCAGCACTGCTAACTGAATAGAAGTACTTGCATGGAAGTCATGTTGTAAGCAAGAGCAGTTAGGTGGGTGTGCCCAAGTGCAATATTTTATAGCTCTTTTGTCTGCTTCTTTCAGCATACTGGATCTGGTGACCAGGGAGGTGGACAGTCTCTTATGTCAACTGGAAGCTGCCTAGAAGACTTCCGATCGGCACCCTTCATTGAGTGCCAAGGTCAACGAGGAACATGCCAGTTTTTTTCCAATGAATACAGTTTCTGGTTAACTACTGTGAATCCAGAGATGCAGTTCACGTCAAGCCCTGTCTCACAGACTCTCAAAGATGAGCAAGAACAACGTCGAAATATAGGCAGATGTCAGGTCTGCATGAAATATGGCTAAAGGAAAACATGAACATCTACTAAGAAGAAGAAAAACGGGATGCAATAAGTTATATTATAGCTGTAAATGGTGCTAATTTTTCCATTTTCTTTCAAACTATGGAATAACCGATCAAGAATTTATGCCAGGCAAACTATGGGCACTAGTTCTTCCTCTGTTCAGCCATATTTTTAGTAATGGCATCTATGCCAGCTAGAAATATCAAGAAAGCTCAGCAATCTATAGAAACCTGGCACCTCCCGTATCAGCATAAGCCAATTTATAACAGGTAATTGGATGGCAGGGGCCACTATTATGACTGCTTGGGTTCTTCCAGAGGAGGCATGTATCATGAACTTATTCTGGCACTTTCACAGAATTTGACACCCATCAAGATGGCATCATTTTTCACTTGGAACTCTCTTGTATTCTTCCACTGCTGCACCTGTTTCTTCTCACCACCCCAAATCTAAATAGGGAGAAGAGGCAAAACAACTGTATAACGTATTTGGACTACTAGCTCTACAATCCTTCTGCCTAAAAGCTGTGTCTATTTTAATGGGGGCGGGGGCTGCTGCAGTGATTAGAAAAAGGAGTGGAATCTTTTATAGTTCCTCTCCTACCTCCTTTTCAGCATGGAGAAGATACATCAGTGTAAATTAGCAGAGGAGTTTTCCTAAAGATGTCAGTGAAAGGTTGAGATAGAAGAATTTTTTAGATTCTTTCAGCAATTTGCTCCAACAGATAGTGGAGAATCCCATTCAAACAATAGTGGTAGTGTAATGCCCAGTACCTCCTCTCAGATGGAAGCAATCAGTGTTTGGCATGCTTAAAAGGCTAATCTGGGAGGGAAAGGATACTGTCTTCAAAAAGAAAATGAGACAGATTTCTATTCTTATTATTTTCTAATAAAGATACACGGGGCTTTCTTTTATATCAAGTTTAAAAAACAAAATACAGTGGGGTCTCTACTTAAGAACGTCTCTACTTAAGAACGATCCAACTTAAGAACAGTTCCATTTGCTAAATTTTGCTTCTACTTGAGAACAGAAATCCAAGATAAGAACAGGAAAAAAAACCTTTCCTGCTCTTTTTTTAATCTTAGGTCATTTTAGGTTTTTTTAAAAAATCTCCCCCTAGTGGTAGAGTACGTATTAACCAGCTTTGCATTAGTTCCTATGGGAACTAATGCTTCAATGTACGAACGCACCTCTACATAACAAAAAAACAGCCAGAACGGATTAATTGGTTTTCAGTCCATTCCTATGGGAAATTTTGCTTCAACTTAAGAACATTTCAACTTAAGAACACCATTCCAAAACCGATTAAGTTCTTAAGTAGAGGTTCCACTGTAAATATACATTTTACTGACAATAGGGTTTCATATGGATACAGTGAGAAAAGTGTTGCTTTTACAGATCATTTATTGGCATAAAAGACATGGTTCCACATCAGTTAAATGACTGGCTGTTCTCTGATAGCATGTGGCAAGAAATCAAGACAACACTGAACTTGACAACATGGTTAACTTTAGACTTTGATAGGCCTGATCAGTTCAGGTCTCACTCTCACTCACAACTTTAGAAAATTTAGTTTCCCTTAGGGTTATCCTGAGCTTTTTATTCCCAAACTGTCAGCAACGATTAGTAGGGGAGGTGGAGATGGATATATTTTTTTGCTTTTTTTTTTTTTGTCAGCTTGCTAGTTCCTGACTAAGGGCTTCTCCAAACCACTGCAGAGATGTTCATCATAACACCAATTATTTTCTATCAACTAGTAAAGATTATTGCTCAAGAAACAGAAGACAATAATATTATGTCAATTCTAAGGAATTTGAAAAATCACTCTACAAGCTAATCTAATAAAGCTAAATGAGAGAACTCTGGGCAGAGGAAAATCACACACCATTTCAGTATCAAAATAGTTATTTTAAGTCAATTTCAGTGTATTTATTGCACAAGGAATCTTGATGTATAAGTTACCACACCCCCACTGCTTTCAAAATGTTTGTTCATATCTATAGATGCACTTAACTAGAAATAAGCATCGATTTTTGAATGGTATCAGTTTTGCATTGACTACAGCTGCTAAATCCTGAAAACATGCATTTTTCATGTTTGAAGGCATTATTGTCCCTTTAATAATTTGCATATAAATTGTGCTTTAATTCTGTATAGTTTTTTTAAGTACATAATATTTCTAGGACTAAACATGCCAGTAGAGTAGCAGTCAGTTCAGACACACCTACAGTGAACATAATGTGGCAATACCATACATACAAAAATGCAGCTATCCAAGAGCTTATGGCTGGCGCCTTCAAAACTGGGCCTCTTCTAGCAAGTGGCACCCATTTGGTGAATGGGGCAGAAATAACCACGTCTGATGCTATTTGTAGGACTTGCCCATTCCCTTCTCTTTCATCTTAATTCCTCCTCTTTTAGATCCTTGGAGGAGCTTGCTTGGCTTACAGCATTCTCAGGTCGGTGCTGCTGAACATAGCTACTTCTGCCGTTTCAGATCTCCTTCTCAGTCAACTCCTTCTCCAAGTTCAAGTAGTCTTGTCTAGTCCTGTTTTCCCAGAAGTCTTTTATTCATTGTTCCTTTTCCATTCCTTCTTTTACTTTGATCGCTTTTCTGCTTTTCTCTCTGTCTACTGCTGCAAGTGGCAGTTGAAATGGGGGCAGCAAAAGATATTATGCCTCTGAAGAAGGGTTATTACTTCCCCTTTTACACAGGTGAATCACTAAGAGGCCAACTTAAGTATCTTTCATTTCATCTCCTTTCAGTCATTTATATATATATATATTTTACTTACTACACTGTTAGTGGGGTTGTCCTTCAACACAGCATTCTTACATTCTTTACAAGAGAGAAGGTTACAGGAGTGAGTCAGGGATTCAGTACACAGCACCTTTTAAACATCTAGAATCCCACAGACATTTGATAGACAGAAGCAATAGCATTATTGAATAAAACCACTGGTGGTTCTTCCAAATTACTGCAAATCTAAATTAAATTGTGAGGCAATAGTCTAATTGCCAGATCCCTTAATATAGGCATATTTGATTCTGTTATGATAATTTGACAGTTCTGTTCATAGCAAAGAAAAAGTTAAGACAACATGAGAAGCATTCAAAAGCAGGCAACAGGAAGAATTCAGTTTCTCCTGTTTTGGAATGTTTCAGCCTAAGCACAATTTGTAATTCAGTTTCCACAGGCTGCCAATCCTGGTCCAAGCACAATTCAAGGTGCTGGTTTTAACCTATAATGCCCTACACGGCTTAGGTCCAAGCTATCCTAAGGACCGCATCTCCCTTTATGAGACTGGCCAGATGTTAAGATAACCATAGGAGGCTTTTCTCTTGGTCCCACCACCTTCATAGGTACATTTGATAGGCCGTTTTTTTATCAATGTACCCAGATTCCGGAACTTCCTCCTACAGGAGGCTAGGCTGGCTCACCTTAGCTATCCTTCTGAAACAGATGACCTTTCTCTTCGGACAGGCTTTCCCTTAGTGACTGGCTGTCTGAGAGGGTTTTTTAAATGGAGTGTTATGCCTTCTTGCTTTGAATTTGTTTTTGGTGTTGATTTTGTTTACTCTTGTTAGTGTGGTATTTGTTTGATTCTTTTTAATATTTGCATACGTTCTATTTTTACCTTTTAAATATTGCCTTTTAATAATGTAAGCCATTTTGGGTCCTTTTAAAGGAGAAATATGGGATTAAAATTTTTAAAATAAATAAGTTTCCCAACCTGCATGTTACACTTCCATTGCTAAAATTCCTTCTTAGATGATGATCCAACACTTAAAGATAGGCTTCAGTCATGAATTAACTCAAATTCCTGACACATACCCTCCCTGAAACATTCCATCCCTCACTGACTCAGTATCTTGATACTCTATTTTAACAGAAGGAAGGCAATATAATATTGGAAGGCACGCAGATTAAAAGGCTGAGAGAATTACGGTGGCTAACATGCATTCTTATCTGGCTACAAATAATAAAAGAGTACTTACTACTCTACAGAAATACAAACATCTGAGGTAGTAAGTTTTGGCAGCTTTTTAAAAGTCATTTCAGAAATGGTGGTATGAAATGCTCCATCTTACATCTCTAAAAAATGGGATACTAAAGCAAAAATCTTTGGATGTGGCGGTGCTGCGGGTTAAACCCCAGACGCCTCTGTGCTGCAAGGTCAGAAGACCAGCAGTCATAAGATCAAATCCATGCGACAGTGAGCTCCCGTTGCTTGCCCCAGCCCCTGGCAACCTAGCAGTACAACATGCAAATGCGAGTAGATGAATAGTTAAGTGGAAAATATGGACTCTAGTATTTGTTTAAAATACCCAGAGACATGCACACACAATGTAAAATAGATCACTAAATAGTGTAGAATCATTTCTGGGAGAATAGCAACATAAACCACATGATCCACATTATGAGTATGCTCATCTAAAAATAGAACTCCATCCATAGTATGACCCTTAACATTTTATAAGACCCTTAAAGTTGTGTTAATGAAAAATCATTATATAGAAGTTACGTTAGATAAAAGCCTATAAAAGCGGCCTGAGGCAGAACAAGTAGCGTAAAAACGACACGAGATATTTAGTTCTCATGCAAAATAAAGTGAGCATGGATGTTTGCGTATTCCTAGCTACTCATGCTTTGACAATTTATTCTGGCTTTATATGCCAATTTGCTGTGCTGTCATGACAAATGTGCTGTTACCATGGTAACATCCACAGTGACTGCTTGGGCTGTCACTGAAATACTATCCTCCACTTTAAATGAACAATATTTCATGGCATATTTTAAAAATACCATTTTACACAGAAACGAGAGTCATCCACAGGAAATGTTTGTTTCCTATGGGATAATACAGTATTTTACTGATTGATCTTTTATTTTATCTGCTCTGCAACCTCTCACAATGCACCCACTCTGGCTACGAAGTGTTTTCCATCCCTAGAGCTCAGGGAGATGAAGACAGCAAAGAAAAGGCATCACCTCTTGCCAAGAGCCATAGCATCTCCAATTTTTGTCAGCCGAAGTCTACCACAAAAACATTCTTTGTTTTTGACTGTGTTGCATTTCTTCCCTCCAGACAGACTGAGAGTTTCATTCTCAATCGATGACCAATGTTTTTGTAAACTAGTGTGTCTTCTGTGTTGCAAGGGTCAAATTACAGATCCCTCAAAAGAAATTTTACAGAGAACTCTAAAAATGGACTTTGAATGAAGGGTATCTGGGAGAATGCCCAGTTAGGTGTTATGGCAAAGGAACTTAAGTACTAATTCCATACATTTTTATGTGGACACTCTGGATCCCTGCATCTAGGACTATTTGGAGCACACTGGAAGGAAAGAGAAACATGGTCAAATGGGCTTGGAGACAGCATTTGAGAGACATCAAAGTGGTGAAAAAATGACCGAAACTAATTATGGTTTATGAATAAAGTTATTCTACTCAGCCCCAAAAATTCAGTGACTCCAAGGCTGGTAGATTAGAAGATTGATGGCACTACCAGGGCCTCCTTGGCAGTACTTTCAGGTCCCTACATGGTGAGAAATGAAGATCACTGATCCAATGCTTGAAATTGGAATATGGTCAATTTGTGTGTAGAATACTTAATTATGGCTCTCATCTCTCTCTCTCTCTTATGAGAACTTTGCTGAAATTAGTTAGAGGTATTGCTGATCAGACATATGGATTAATCATGATGTGGCGTATACTTCAACCAATTCCTTGTATATTCTCTTCATTTTAAGATGACAGGGCCAGCAGTACTATACCACTGAAACTGGAGATCTGTACTGTATACTAGCTGCAATGCAAATACTCTTTTAAGACTTTGCACCATATTCAGGCATTCTGATAAGAAGGGATTGAACTGTGATGTTGGGACAGAAGTGGAGAATAGAAATCTGCTGCCACTATCACTACATGCATTTGCTCTAATCCCCATGTGTCTGAATGGTGATTCTGTGTTGAGCTGAAGAAATTTATTGTCCTCTAGACAAAACAAGATTAGAAGCCTCATGGTGCAGTGGTTAAACTGCTGTACTACAACCAAAACTGTGCTCATGATAACCCAGCATTCAACCCTAGGCAGCTGGCTGAAGGTTGACTCAACCTTCTATCCTTCCAAGGTCAGCAAAAGGAGTGCCCAGCTCACATGGGGGGAGGGAACAATATGTAGCCTGCATAATGAACTTGTAAACTGCTCAAAGTACTGTAAGCGCTATGGGGCAGTATATAAACAGCAAGCTTTGCTTTTACTATTTCTACTTTGGGGGAACTTTCTGAGGTTGCACTCCATTTCACAAGGAAAACAATACTCCTGGAGCTTCAAGGAATAGAAATTAACAGTTTAGACTCAAAGGACATTTTCTATATAAAATATTGTGGAGGCTGTGGAGGTCTGCTCCACCAAGAGCTGGAAAAACAGTCTGGGGGTGGCAGGATTTACCCATCCTTTCCTCAAGCCTTTCATCACAAAGATTCTGTAAGATTCTACTATGAGAACTTTCTGGATTTTCTTTCACTGCACACGAACAACTTCATGTATGGTGGACTGTAGAAAAGGATAGTGCACAAATATTTTATTTTGGTACATGCTTAGTTTATTGGGAAAGCCTACAAAATATATAAGTTGGAAAAAAATTGCGACAAGGGGCCGACAAGTACATTGATACAAAATGAAATCTGTTAAAACATTTATTACTATTTAAAAATGGAAACCATAATTACTGATGACCCTCCAAAATGAGGATGAAATAAGATTTTTTTTTCATGGCAATGGGCAAACAAGTGCAACTCCATTTTCTTCATCTTCCCCACCATAAACAGATCGAGCAAAATGGTTTCTGGAAACTAGTGAGGAATAGGCCCTCCATTGGTCTTTTTTTAAACAGAGAAGCAGGCTTTCATACTGAATGCTTACAGCAATTTATAATAAAAGAAACAGACAGCAACTGGTAGGAAAAATATTTTCTGGCAAGTCCCACTTTTGAAAAGCAAAAAATAAATAAGGACTCACAGAATGGCAAACTGTAGTCAAACCGTGGTCCAGGGGGCAAACAGTGATGTTCAGATATGATGTTAAATACGTGCTGAATACATTTTGCAATCCTTTCTTCTTCTGTCATCCTGACAAAAAAATCACTCCTTTGAGGCTGCTATTTACATGAAGGGAAGAGTTTCCAAAAGCTCCAATTTCTTACAAATGGCAGTATCAGAAATGTGATTTCTGCCAGGATGTCCCCTCTCCACTTGCTGTGAATCTATTTATCTGCACCCATCCCCAGCATAGGTTAAAACTGAAAATGACAAGGCTTGAAAATAAATGTCTACAATTTGCATGTGTATTTTTAAAAAATCTTCATGGTAAAAGCAAATATTCATTTAATGTCATATCTCAATTGCCCCCAGATATCAAAATAAAAATAAGAGGACAGAGAAGTGATTCTTTCCTAAAAGAGAAAAGCATAGCTAGCAGCAGCATGAAGGGAAAAAAGCGTGCATACAAAATGTGTGTGTATGCTGCCCATGCAGCAAATGGAGACCACAACAAGCTTTCCACTGGCACTACAAAAATCTGCTAAAGACCAAAGAGCTTCAAAAGCAGTTCCACTGGCCCTTTGAAAACATCTTCAAGATTTTGAGCTTTCAGCGCTTGGAAAGGCCTAAATCATTTTGTGTTTTGTTCCTCTTGGAATAAAACTGATAAAGGAAATTACAAATATGAAATTGAAGCCTATCTAAACTATAGTCTGTGCACACTGAATGTTTCACATTTTTTACTTGTTGATCTGCTGATGAAATCCAGAAGACAGATTAAGTCAATTACGTTTCTGTTGTGTTAACATCCAACGGTTTCTGATGATACAATGTGGATGTATGTAATTATTTTCATATATACATACATACAGGATGGCAAAACTCCTTGAAGAGGTAGACTTGTCAAGACTTCAAAGGCACAGAATCCTTCTAATAAGTAAACTTACTTTCCAGGACCAGAATAAATTAACACAAGAGAATAAGAGAATAAAAATATACTTTTAAGTTACCCAAGAGAATCAAAATATACTTTAAGTGATAAGAAAATGATCAAATATAGCAAAAATTCCCCTTCTTAGGCTCTCTTACAAAACTACAAAGTTCAGGTATCTTGTATATATAAAAAAGGTGAAGTGATGGTGTTAACATGTTTGCATACTTACGCAATGACTGCCTATTTGTTAACTAAAACAGAAATGTCACCAGGCCTTGTCTATAATGAAAAACTATACAGACAAAGCCACAAGGGAGCTGTAGGCTCCTTAAAGTTCTTAAAAGGTATTTGACTCCCAAGATACATGTTATTTTCCAGATGTCAACTCTACAGGTGGCACCTGGAAGCCAAATAAAAGCTATTAGTTGTAGGTGCTAAAGCACATGTAGGTTTTCTGAAGCACATCAAATCACGTTGCAATGAATTCTTCACAGCACACTAGAAAAAGGAATCCACATGTACACACAGAAGGTCCACACAGGCAGAAATGTCCTTGTTCACTTCAATACAAGGGGAGGCTCCATGTGTGCAACAATACCTGAACATGAAAATATTGACTTAACTCCCTCTTATGGAGGTGAATGGATGCTATCCAAGTGGTGCTCCTCCTCATTTTAATAGCATTTACACTAGAAATATTTTCAGTAGTCCAGGGTAAGAAAAACAGGACTAATATTAGGAAATACACATTTTCGCTCAACATATAGAAGTTATGTGTAGAGGTGAGGGATTTGTATTTGTCTCCTCAGTCAGGCCACCTCTGTGACTGGCACAGAGAGAAGAACAATGGCAGCACATGTCACGCTATAAGTGAACGACTGGTTGCCGGGGGTGGGGGTGGGGGTGTAATCAGGCTAGCCAGCTTTGATGGTGGATTTCATATTCGTCTCCCCTGGGAGACAAATACGAATACCTCATCTCTAATTATGTGTTTAAAATACATTGTACAATTACTGTAATGACTATGAAACCTCCCATGGAAACATTAACTAGGCTTTGGAAATTACCACTGGGTCTAAATAAAAATTAAACCTAAACTGCTCCCTGCACCAAATCCCCAATTAAAGACTTGTAGACTGAAGAGGAGATGTTATGCTGCTCTTGTCTGCTAAATTTGCATTTGGAAAAAATATTGCTGAATAGCAAATTGTTATCCTCTTCAGATGCATCAAGCATTCCATATTTAAGATCCTAAGAGGAAACAGAAAATCATAGCTCATGTGTTTGAACTACCTGATTTAATCTACATTATAGTCTACTGAAGGATCAATTCAAATTAACTCAAACAGCTCTATGCAATTTCCATTGAAATTAATAAGATTTGCACAAGAGAGCTTTGAGAATGTTGATGAACTGAATCCTTTTCAACTTTAACTTTGGTGTCCATATGTCAAATAGCAAATACTCCGTTGTATCTATTGGTACTTTCCAGGACACACTACTTTCTGAAACAAAATCCTTAAATGAGAATAGATTAGCCAGTGTTTTTGCAGTTGTGAAGAGAATGGACTTGAGAATTTTACCATCTATCAAATCGATTAAGTCTGTGTCTTCTAAGCTCCTCAGCTGATGGTTCTTCTGGTGGAAGCCAGAAGCCATAGGGTCTTCTCTCATTACTGTAATGTCTTGTGTTACCACCTGCAATAACAAGCAAATATGATGACTGTAACATAAGGTGAATCGCAGATAATTTTTCACACACATTCTTCTAATACCCATCACACCTATTTCCCCCCTCAATATATTAAGCTGACATTTACCAGAAGTTTAGAAACTTTGATTCAAACAAGAGGCTTGCCAACAGAACATCCAGTACTGAAGCAGGCAACTTGCCATTTGGATGTTTTGGATATACAGTGGTGCCTCACTTAGCACCACAGCTGGTCGGCGGTTCCAAAATGGCTGCCACTTTTGGCCATTGCTGGAGTGATTGCTTAGCGATGTCCCCTATGGCGAAAATTCGCTTTGTGATGATCGCGGGGGAAGCGATCATGGCAAAGCAAAAAATTTTAAACAGCTGGTCGGCGGTTCCAAAATGGCTGCCGCAAAAACAAAATGGCCACCGCTGTTTTGCCTCACTTTAGAGGCACCCAAAATGGCCACCGCTATGGAGGAATTTTGCTTTAAGGTAAGTTTTTAGCCCACAGGAACGTATTAAACACATTTTAATACGTTCCTATGGGCATTTTAATATCGCTTAGAGAGTAAAGAACTTAGCGATGTTTTTTCCGGAACGGATTAACATCGCTAAGTGAGGCACCGCTGTACTTCCAATCAGCCTCAACTTCTATGGGCAATGGTCTAGAATTCAGACAAATGCAGTTCAAAACATCACCGTGTTGCCCATCCTGATTTAATGTTTTCAAACTGATATAACAGAAATCTTTAAGTTCTCACACTGTGATGTGTGCACTGATACCAAGCTGTCGAACCCTGGCTGCAATCACACACACAAGCTTTCATTTCCCACACTTTAAATTTCACTCTTCTTTTCCAGCATTCAATAAAAGAAGAGAAAACCATCAAATCTTTGGTGTTGAGAAGAGAAAAGGAAGCCTAAGCTTCATCTATTGTTACCAGGAATTTCCACTGGAACAAATGGAGCTGTTTTTGTGGTGATGTGGGTTTGAAGAGGATATTAAAACTGTCTGTGTTCAATTACTACAGTATTTGGGGGGAAAAGAACAAAAATGAATTGTTAGCAGTTTATGAACCCGCTAAGCTGCACTGATATTTCAGAAGTAGCCTAAAGCTACAATGGACCTCCCTCAAGCAGCACAAAAAGTTTGCAACTGCAGCGCCCAAGTCCCTTAGGTTTTATTTTTATTTTAGATCTCATCACCCCAAGGATGCACCGGATCAAAAAAAACTCAAGACTAAGAGGTAATATGATAGCCATTGTCAAATATTGGAAGAGCTGTAATGTGAAAGAGCAAACAAGTTTGTTTTGTCCAACTTGGGGGGGGGCAGTAGGGCAAAACATATCTGTGAAGTTTACATTTGCTTGTTTGATTACCATGACAAATTCAGAAATTCCTGCTCTCTTGTCATGCTTAGCCTGACAACTATGAAAGTGTTACACACAATGGGTTCTCTGAAGCTTCTTTCGTGAGATGCCTTTAATATGAAAAATTACCAGTTAAAATTAAAGAATTCTTTACTTTATTAGCAGTGAAAGCTTGGCACTGGCTGAGATGGGAGGAAGAAAGTAAAATATCTTCTGTAACACCAAAATATCTTCTTAAAATTCTCATAAATGTGAGAAATGCTCTGGTTTCTCACAATAGTCTGGGTCTGGGATCACAGTAAATAAAAATCAAGGTATCTAAGTTAGCATGGACTTCAGGTTATATGTATGAAAATTTTCCACAGCCTCTGAACACTTAGGATTGATAAAACCAAGGAGTAAGAGTTCAGTGTCAGGCTATTCTTCATGTCATCCAGCAGATGGCACAAGAGACTCATAACCAAGCTATTAGAGAAAAGTAGGACAAACCCCAGTCAACAAAGCATTCCGCATAGTAAGCAGAATTAAGGTTATTTTGAAACAGATGGGCTCTACAGAAGCTGCAGCACTGAATATTATAGAGTTGTTTATTGTGTGGCCAGTCTGAAACCCAGGGATTATTTGCCAGCATCTAGCACTTTCTGTGTCAGATCAGGTTTCATCTAAAAGAAGAATAAAGTGACAGCCTACTGGGATATATAGCTATACATTTTTGTACTAATCCACTGTTGAATTCAGAATTTAAACTTGCTGTTATACGGCCTATTCAGCATAGCAGTGTTGTTGTTTTTCTGGAAAGATCAGCAGCATAACTAGAATCCTAACTCTGATGTGTAACAGCTAGCTAACATATCTAGTCAACTGAGAAGACTATACAAGTGTTGCTTGTTTTTGTATTAAAAATAAAATCTATTTACATCTTTCAGTATTGTCTTTATCAATTTTAACACAGCATGCCCCAGAATTGAAAGATACCTTCATCAGTTTTTTTGGACAGCTGTATCCTATAAAGTTTTATGAAATCTGCAAAGCTATCAGCATCCCTCCCTAGATGAGGATAGAATGTGAAGAACTTTTTGGTTCAGGCACTCAAAAGAACTTACTGTATGTTACTGATGTATTCTAAGAACACACAACTTATAAATATGAAGGTGCTCAGAAACCAATAGTATAAAAGAAATTTCTTAAGGCTTCTTTGTAAGCGGAACAGTGAATACAATTTTATCCAAGCTATGTAATGTCCTCTGGGAAGTACTACAAGTTATGTGTTACAATCTATGCACTAGTAATCTCAAGAATCATCTACTGTAATACAGTGGTGCCTCGCTTAGCGATTGCTTCGTTTAATGAAGAATTCACTTAACAATGTGTTTCTTGGAGGAATTTTCCGCATCATTTAACGATGTTCTCTATGGGGGATTTTCACTTAACAATCTCTGTTTTTGCTCATTTTTAAGTGTCTTAAAATGTTTGAAACCTGTTTTAAATGCTTGGAATCGGTAGTCCCTCTTGTGAAACATGTGCAAACTTAATTTGGCTCTGTTCTGAGTCTTCGTTAATTTTTGGTGATATTTTGTTTTCCCCATTTAAATCCACTGAACTGTCCCTTCAATGGACAAGGGGGACTACCGATTCCAAGCATTTAAAACAGGTTTCAAACATTTTAAGACACTTAAAAATGAGCAAAAACAGAGATCGGGAAGCCAACTGAAATCATAGAGAACATCGTTAAATGATGCGGAAAATTCCTCCAAGAAACACATTGTTAAGTGAATTCTTCATTAAACGAAGCAATCGCTAAGCGAGGCACCACTGTATTACAGTAGATGATTCTTGAGATTACTAGTGCATAGATTGTAACACATAACTTGTAGTACTTCCCAGAGGACATTACATAGCTTGGATAAAATTGTATTCACTGTTCCGCTTACAAAGAAGCCTTAAGAAATTTCTTTTATACTATTGGTTTCTGAGCACCTTCATATTTATAAGTTGTGTGTTCTTAGAATACATCAGTAACATACAGTAAGTTCTTTTGAGTGCCTGAACCAAAAAGTTCTTCACATTCTATCCTCATCTAGGGAGGGATGCTGATAGCTTTGCAGATTTCATAAAACTTTATAGGATACAGCTGTCCAAAAAAACTGATGAAGGTATCTTTCAATTCTGGGGCATGCTGTGTTAAAATTGATAAAGACAATACTGAAAGATGTAAATAGATTTTATTTTTAATACAAAAACAAGCAACACTTGGCTTTGCATTAGTTCCTATGGGAACTAATGATTCGAGTTACAAACCGCTCCTCGACCTAAGAAACAAAAACAGACGGAACAGATGAATTGGCTTTTAATGCATTCCTATGGAAAATGCTGATTAGACTTACAAACTTTTCGACTTACAAACTTCCTTCTGGAATGGATTATGTTTGTAAATCGAGGGTTGACTGTGGTTTAATCCTGTATATTTATTTTGGAAATTTCGAATCAAGCATGTTTCACAGTGCAAAGGAAAGTAACCTTTCATGGTTCCTTATGTACATATTTGTAAAACTGCAGGTTTATTTACTATCTCATGCAAACATACAGTTAAAATACTAAGACTTATTCAGAATTTATGCCTGGATAAAGAATTAGAACAAAAGATTTAAAAAAAAACATGACCGGAGCATGAAAATCTGATAATTAATATACTTTTATAACATACAATAAGGCAAAAACTGCATTTCCTGAGTACACTATCAAAACATCTTTAGTAACATTTGAACAACTGTCACCAAACAACAGCCGGACTTTTGGCTTCAATTCACCTCAGATGAGAACCCGATTCTTTCCCAACAACACTAGCTGATCTTGCTAATTATGTTACAATGCCAGCACATTATCTCATGTAGGTCCAAAATTCACAGAAAACTTTTGGGCATAGTATAAAAAAATACATGATGTATTATTTAGCAGTCTGTTACTGACAGTGGATTTGTTTCTTCAAACATTAAGTCAGCAATGTATTGTGCAACACACCAGAAGATACCCACTAATACTATAGGCAAGTAAAATATAAAGGCTTCTTCACAATACAACAGGCATTTCACATGGATGTGGGTACAGGGTACGTAAACTCAGTGAAAGATCCTTGCAATTACTACAACTTCTATGTGCTGCTTCTTCCCCCATTATCCCACCCATTATCTGGAACATGCAGATTGGAAGTTTCCTTGACATCCACTACAAACTAAAAATGAAGGTCAGCAGTGGCATGGTGAGCCAATGTACACAAAAGACCTGCTTGTATATGGCTATTGTAGGAAGCCATTTATAAAAGTAGCCATTAGATGCCCACCAGTTGTTCTTCACAAGCACACAGAAACATTTCTAAGGCAGAATATTCCCAAAGTGAATACAGTATTAAAGAAGTGGGGATTAACAGCAACAGTTACACAAAGTGCAGTACGTAGAGAGGAAGGACTGCTGAAAATGATGTTTCAGGAAAGATGAAAGGATTCCAGGTCTTCACCAAATATATCGCTCCTAAAAAAGGCAACTCTTCTTCCCTAACTCAAATCAGAATGGTTCAATGGAAAGTACAAAATGTAAACCAAAGTAACAAGAAGTATATATGCACAATGCATAATTT